TTTAAAATCTTCATTCTCATCTAATTTTGCCTCAGAATTATATTCTTTACACTTTTATAAAATCAATTTAATAATCAATCTATGTGTAGAAATCATAATACCAATTTCTTAAACAAATTAAACGCTACCATTCCTGGATATTTGTCAAAATCCAATGTTAACCAAATCCCTGGAGTCTCAACATATTCTTCAGGATTATTCAAACTTAGTTCATAAGCCTGATCCACAGCTTTAATGAGATTGGGTAAATATTAGGTATGATATATTAATGATTTTTAATGTATGATGAAAATTCGTTATTTGTTAGATTAATTAAATAACTTGGCAGCTTAAAATACTTGTAATCATTTTATTCTCTCCCTTGGAGCATTCTACTCATAGCAATCAACTATAGGTCAATGAATTTGATTATGTTGGATGAAAAATAAATACGTACTTCACTCGATTGATTTTAGACCAATATTTAATATATAAATTTAAATTATACTTTATCTCGTTTATTAAAATATTCGATGATGACAAATTAATCCAAATATCGAATATAATGGCTGCTCAATCTATCAAATATCATAATAACATAGTCTTTTTTTTTCTTGGGTTTGGGTGTCGGGGGTGATTATGATATTTATAACTTTTTTCATTTATATTTCCCAAATCAATTAGTCGAATCAGAGATTATTCAAGCATTGGTTCTTCTTAAATGAATTTTTTAATCTCAATGATAGAACACTTTTGTCACTAATTAGTATTGAAAATTTAATTACTCTGCATTTGCTGCAATCTAAACATGTTATTTCCTCTTAATTACTTATCCTTGACTTTATCAGACAAGAAATACTTTGGCCATCATTTTGAGGCCTAGTTTAGGTAAGTTGCTCTTTGAATATTGGATGTAATGGATCATATCATATTTAAATTAATTTGTTCTGAAATATTAAAAATTTTCTCCTGCTAATTAATTTAGATAGTCCATCCTATTAAACATAGTTGATGAAAATTTACAATACTCTTTGAAGATGATAGTTCATTTGGAGTATTTTACATATTATTAAGAGTTAAATGAGAAAGTTAAAAACCAAGAATTTAGATGAAAATTCTTAAATCACTTGATGAATTTAATCATTATTGCAGTCTTTTTTCATAGATATGAAAATTGCAACCAACAGTAATGATAAGAAAATTGATTTACTTAATTATTTAAACTCATTAGATTACACGATCTGTGGTACTGCTTACTTTGAGGAATTTGGAAATTATAATTATTTTTCTTTGAATACAAATAAAATATGAAAGTTGTTCAAATGAAAAAATTGGATATTAAAAAGTTATTTATCTTGCAAATTACTATCAATTACTTACTTAGAATTAAAAAAAATTATAATTATATAAATTAATTTTTGGAGCATACTACAAATAATATATCCATTTCTAACTATTTTTG